ATAAACATCAAACCTGCCATGACCAATATCCAAACCTCACCAAAAGCCAAAAGCCTGAAGCAAGCCAAGGCCTGAAGCTCAAACTTCATCCAACCCTGTACCATCCTGCATAAAACCTGTATCTAACCCAAAAGCTTGAAGGCCTAAACCTGCCTGAACTGTCAAGACCTTAAAACCAGACCTGCACTGAAGCCCTTTCAAAGCAAACAACTCAGAACATCAAGCAATAAAAACAAGAGCCATCAAACCATATCTGCATCAAGTCTAAAGCCTGTTGAAAACAGAAGCTCAAAGCCTAAAACTCAGTTCCATTCCAAATGCCTCAAAACCTCACAAAATCCCACAAAACATTCAAAGCTCCTAGCCTAAAAGCCAAAAACCCTTAAACAATACAAACTGTCAAAAGCCTAGACATGGAGCCCTTTCCAAAATCAGATTCCAAACCAACACACGCCCTCAGAAAGGTTTCATCATTGGGCCAATAATACAGTATATCCAAGCATACAGCAGTAGAAGGCAACAAGAAGAAGAGGACAAAGAAGCATCAGTATAACCAACATCAGCAAGCAACCATATTCATCATCCAAGGCAACCAAACATATCAAGCAAGCATACGAGGCAAAGAGGCCCTCAGAGGAAGCCTCATCACAGGGCAAGGCATCAAGGCATCAAGACATCAATCAAGCATACAGAAATAGGGCAAACAGAAGAAGAGGAAAAGGCGAGCAAGCTAGCATATCAGTAATCAAACACCTCAGAAGCATACAAAGTGTTCAGAGACAACTCAGAATAAACAAAAGCAAGGCAACTGGAGAAGAAGAGAGGCAACTATCAAACTGAGGTTTTCAAGTTCATCATAAAACCCTAAAGAAGGTAAAAGATACAAACCAGGAAGCAAAGGTTCCAAGCTAGCTTCCATCATCACCGAGCCTCCGCCTTGGCCTCCTGAGCGCCTCCGCGTCCACCATCCTCCTCCAAAGAAGGAAGCATCTTTTCTTCTCTCCTCAATCAGAACACAAACAATAACAAAGCTTAAAATCAGAATTCAAAACGAAACTAAAACATGCAAAGGGAATTGATATAAACCTTAAAACATAGGGACAGAAATCGCTACCTCGTAAGCATCGCCTGAGCGGTTCACTGAGGGAAAAGGAGGGCCGGTGGCGCCGGTGGCCATGGGCGAAGGCTGAGCTGTATTCAGTAGCTTGGCCGGAGAAGATGAAGATGAAGCCAAAACGGCGCCTCTGTCTCACAAACCCTAAGTCTCTAATGAACAAAACAAAAACAACCCTAAAACGTTGTTAAGATAAACCTGGGCCTTGCCCCACAAAAATGCCTAAGCCCATTTGCCTTTTTTTTTCCAAACGTACCCCCCATTTCCACTTGCCTTCTGATTCACTTGTTTTTTTTCTTCAGTTTGGGCCAAAACCCTTTCAGGCCCACATAACCTCTTTTATTTTTCTATTAACAAACCCTTCTTAATCTTTTCTAAATTTTCGTTTATTTTATAACCTAACTCTTTTTTTATATAATATTTTAACTAAAATATAAATAATACATTAATCTTACTAAATTTTGTTTATCACATTTAAAGTAAAAATTAGACTCTTTTTTTTAGGTTTAAACATTTTTAGTTTATTAAAACTTTTTAGTTTACATAAGAAAATAAGCTTTCCTTTATTTCTTTTTCTTTTAATTAAAACTTTGTACATAAAAAGATTAAGTAAAATACATTAATTTGTAAATACATAAGAAATACTTTTCTTTAAAGACATTAATATATAGAATTTGAATATTTTCTTTTTTTAAAATATTTTATTCTTGTACATCAATACGTAATACTTTTCTTTTCTTAAGATATTTTGTTTGTATATACCTAACAAAAAATACAAGAATACAATAATAATTAAATCAAATACTTAATTTTCTCATTAAGTTAACATTTCTCAAACTTGTAAATAAATCACATTCATACACTTACACAGTTACAATACACAAATACGTCGATACATTTACTTTGCTTTACACATATACATTTGCTATTCTTATACATTGCTATACATTATATTTTACATTTGCGCAATTCGATTTGGTTGTAATTATTGGACACTACTCTCCTTAAAGTCTCATCCCCATTTGTAAATACTTGTACCCCCACTCCCGGATACTTATTTGTAATAGCGTAGACTTTAAATTCCCGCAATTTATCGCTTTCAAATATACTATGGTTAGACCTAGGGTTTATATGTACATAAAATCAAATGCTAGATAACCTAATACAAAGACAAATGCATGAAATCAATACACAATCACACTTGCACCCCTAGGGTAATCCCGCTTGTTGTCTTCCAAAATGGGCCATGCTTGCACGTCGAGTTTCTTTGGCAAAACAATTCAAATGATCATAAGTTCCTCGATGACGCTTTTGAAAGTTGCCTATCAAAATGATCATAGTCCCTTCAAGCAAATTGCCAAAGACACTTGGCACCATTGCATCCATGGTCCGTACGATGACTCGCGCCTGTCCCGTTAAACATCCCAAACGCAAGATTGTCCACCAAATACAATGGTGGAACAAAATTGATAAAAAAGGGTTAAGACATGAGAAAACACCTTTGAGTACAATAGGGGTAGACAAACTCTTAGTTACTTGATCAAACTTGCAAAACACACTTGCCTACTTTCAAAAACACACTCCACAAACACTTTCAAAACAAACTTTCAAAAACATTTGAAACATCTTTTCGAAAAGATACACACCTTTGTAAAACACTCAAACACGAGTCATTACATTGGTTGCCTAAGACAAGGCATCTTCTTCAAAAACATTTTCAAAACACACACACACACACCACAATTTCAAGCAATTTGGAAATCAAAGGCAAGTGATCTAAAACCAAGTAACTAAGAGCCCATGGATAACCATGGATAGAAAGGGTGCTAATACCTTCCCTTTCTATAATCTACCCCCCGAACCCACGAAACATCTCAAAAGGTTTTTCCTGTGCTTTTTAACCTTTCCTTTAGGATAAAATAAAAAGTCGGTGGCGACTCTTGCTAAACCGAACAAGTGCGAATACAAACGCAAAAACTCAAGTCAGTTCTCCCACCGTATCACACAAGGGAACGGCTGGATTGGCTTAGTTGCCTCAAGAAGAACATCAACAGGAATATTTGGTTCTGATCGCTTTAATGGTGGTATGCCATGATTGTAGTCTTGAGGATCTTCACGGTAATCCTACAATTTGAAGGGAAAGGTTTCAGAGGCAGCAAAGTGATTATTAAACTTAAGACAAAGTTCTAAACATGACAATGTGAATTTGGTCATAAAACATAAGAATTCTAAGTTTCTATACTTATGAACTTCATGCTTTTGGTTGCAAAAACCAAACTTCAAGCTTCCATAACATCTCAAAGTAATCTCCATGCTTGATGCCCTTATGTCTTGAATTTCTTCACCATGTTTTATTTGCATCATCCATGACCAAACTTGCTGTTAAAACCATCTTCAATATACCTTTTCATTCACCATGCCAAGCCGCACCACTGAACCTGCACCACACACATTCATTATCATGATCATAAAATCTAAAAATATAGCATAAAACAAACATGTTCATGCACACATCAAGTCACCCTGTTGTTTCAAGAATACCATGACATCACATCTGCTTGCTAACCTCACTCCACCTTCTGCTTTTCTAGCCCCAAAATATGCACTGTGGGACTGTTTTAGACCTGCTCAAGGGTTAGAACGGTGCCAGGACTACTGTAGTACTAATCACGAGCTTTTAGCAAATAGCGAGGGTCTCCCTGGCATGACTCCCATTTTGCGACCTGGTGTCATTAATATAAAAGATGGTCCTTTGTTTGCTGTTGTTCTTGCAAAGACACTGGGAAAAGAAGTGGGCATCCCTAAGTGTGAAGGCGCTGCTTCAACAAAAGCCCCCTGGAATGCTTCAGAGTTCTTTGACCTTTCTTTTCTTGAGGGTGAAACTATTAGGGAGTGGCTGTTCTTTGACAAGCCTCGAAGGACGTTTGACAGTGGAACTAGGAAACAGAGATCACTCCCTGATTACAGTGAGCGTGGTTGGCATGAATCAAGGAAGCATGTGATGAAGGAACATGGAGGACGCAAGAGATCCTATTACATGGACCCCCAGCCTCTTAGTTATCTCGAGTGGCATTTGTACGAGTACGAGATCAATAACCAGGACGGTTGTGCATTATACAGACTAGAGCTAAAGCTTGTAGATAAAAAGAAAAGTCCTAAAGGAAAAGTGACTAAGGAATCTCTTAATGATTACAAACAAACAGAAATTCTAACAGCTTCCTAACCAAAGTCATAATTCCCCAACCAACTTCCCATAACTGTTTTTATAACCAACTAACATAATCTCTAACAATATAAAAAACAGAATTACTACCATTTCCTATAACCTAACAACTTTTTCTTAACTTTCTAAGAGATTGATAACTAACTTCCATAACCCAAAAATTCTAACAACCCATAACTAACTGTAACAAACTCCTAACTAATTTCTAACATTTTTTTAACTAACAAAACAAACCTACTGAAAAAAATTCATCTTAAACTAACTTCTAACTAACAGCTAAAAACTAACCCTCTAACCTCTCATATACACTGTTGATTCTTATAATAGAAAACGAGATCTAATGGCTAGGGAGAGTTCTGTTGTAACTAACTTTTCAACCTTCTTCCAACTGTATAAAGCTATTGCTTCTGCAACATTGAACTGGGCACGATTCATTCATAAGAAGAATTACATAAAATTTCAACACTCACCTTTCAACTTTCTCTCTGTGCAATCAATCTTGATTCTTCACAACTGAATCACCATCATTTACAAAAAACTTCTCTGAAAACAACTTCACCTCTCTCGGCACTTTCTCTCTGAATCTTCATCATCTTCATCTAAGAAATTCTATGCAACTGCTATCATCAACATCACTTCTCATTCTTTCATCTTCAACAATCATCATTTCTGCAATGCTGCAAACGCATCTGCTTCACTCTTATCGTCTCTTCTTAACATCTCACGCTTAATCTTCATCAACAACAGCAATTCATTGAAGCAGCATAAATTGAAGAAGAAGAAGAGCACAACACTTCTAAACAAGAAAGATAAAGAAGTTATTACCTGCAATGAAGATTCCCCTGGATTTCCGGCACATTCATCACCGCAAAGGGCCGTCGGAGCCACTCCGACATGTAAGTACCGAACCTCCTCCAATTCTTCATCCTTTTTCTCTTTCTTGGTATCACGATGCACCATTTGATATGTTGAACTGTTCCCCCTTGCTCACTGAGATGTAACCTCCTTCATCAGCGTCTAATTGCATGCTTAGGTCATTTTAGGTTTTGTTCTTTGAGCTCAATTTGGACATTTAGTGAAATTGGAGGAAATTGAATAGAAAGAAACGAATTAAGGTTGTGTGTGGTTATTAGAAGCAAAGATGACGGAGGCGAAGAGTGAGAACTGCCGCGTCGGAAGAGGTTGAGGCGACGGAAGAAGAAGACAGCGGAGGGAGGTGTACGCCGCGAGAGAGGAAAGGAAACAAGAATCTGAACCTTTTCTCTAAAACCCTACTCCTAATTCAATTTCATTTTTTTTTTTTAATTTATTTATTTATTTTTTATTTCCTTTTAATTGTAATAAAATAAAATCCTAGATCCAAATAACTTTGTTGGGCCTGAGTACTTTGTTAACCTCCCTTTAGCCCGCGAACCGTTTTTTGGAACTAATTTGTAAGCAAAACAAAAACTAGTCGTGGACTCAACCAGTTGGGCCCAGCGCCCTTACTAAGCCATACACCCTGAATTCAATTTATAACCCTGGGGTTAATCTATGACTTTCTTTTAATTTCATTCATTTTTTTACTTTTTTAATTTTAATGTTTTTATGTTAATAAAATTATAAACTCAATAAAAAAAAAGACTTGTTAAAATTTCTTAAATAAAATTTAGGAGTTAATTCTTTAGTCTTCAATAGAATTTTCCCCACGAAAAAACTAATAAAAATACTTTTTCTTTTAGTTTTTATTCATATTTTCTTATGTTGTGCCTCGTTATTTTTTATACGTTTGTTCATTGTGCGAGGAATTTCTGATTATGCTTTGCATTTGCAATACGCGTTCGCTTTTATCTTAGTTAAATATTGTTTCTGACTCTGTTTGTTTCTTGGTGAAGCTTGCTCGACGCGTACTCCTTGATTTTTCATTACTTTCGATTCGCTCTTGATGACTTGCTCACTTTGGTTGCCTCCGCTTCTACTCTTACACTTCTCTTCATTTTATTGTAATTCGTTATCACTTTATAGAAATCATGAGAAATAGGGCGTTATCACAAACCATATGCATGCTAACATTAGGTAGAATTCCCTCATTCATTCTAATTTTAGGTCTAACCACGCATGATAAAATTAGGTTTAGAAATAGGCTAATTCCCCTTTAACTTTTCTTCCCCTTTTGCATACGCATCTAAAACTAAAACTCCTTTTTCTTTTTCAAAAAAATTCAAAACACTTTAAAACTACTGATGAGAATCACGCTTTTGCTTAGTACGGGAAATGATAAGCGGGTCTCTTCTCGATCTTATTGTTCTTCATCTCAAGCATAGGTGTGGTTCAATTCTCAAAAACTCCTTTCATAGCTAAGTAGAAAAATGACTAATATCTCTCTCTTGAGGTCGACTAGTCATTATCTGCAACAAAAATACAAAGCAAATTCAAATCTTTTGTGCACCCGAGCACTTTTCTTTTAAACCCTTTTCAGGTAAGGACATGATTAATTTACTTCTGTGCCAACGCATAAGTCTCCGAAGGTCGAGCTGCGACAGAAGGCGGAATTAACTTCGTCCATAAAAAACATAAACAAACAAAAACATATGAGCCGAACTACGGTAGCTCTGATTCCTCAAAAAGGATACATAGGCATTAGGGTAGGGCCCAAGCGAGCACAATTTTATTTTCCCTACATTCTTTTCCCCTTTCTTTTGCATGCATCCTTTTAGCAGTAATAAACAGTAAGCATAGATTAAACACACCCATAAGATAGATAACAAGAGTGGATACCGTAGAGTACTACGGGCGTGTGGGGTGCTAATACCTTTCCCTCGCGTAACAGACTCCCTTACCCGATCTCTCGGTCCTAAGACCGTGACTTCTCCCTCATCAGGTTTTCTCGATGTTTACCTTTCCCTACATGTGGGATAAAAGACGTTCGATGGCGACTTCATTGTTTTGATGATTTTCAGCCAGTTGTTTCAGCTGGCGACTTCACTGGGGATGTCGGTCGACCAAGTGCTGGTCCATCCCGGAGTCGCTCCTAGCTCTTCTTTTCTTTTCTTTGGGTGTTTATCTTTACGCTTTCGGTTTATTCATTCATTTTATATATACTTGAGCATACATATGCATTGTATTTTACTGTCTTCCATATACTACTGTTGTACAGGATCTACTTCTTATTGGGTTGGGATGTTACTTTTGAGGTAAAAGGCCCAGTACCCAGGCCAGAGTGCACTAGGACACCTAGGAATAGAGTGGGGGCATGACGTCTATAGGACGTGGTCCGATTAGTGCAGTCATGTCACATACCATGCTCGGATGAGGTTCAAATGAATTACTATCGGCACCCACGTCTGTGGGCAAGCCCATAGCACTTTCAGGCGAACCCGTGATTTTCGAGTTACCATTATCTTACCCTGACCTAGTTTTCACCCGTGAGTGGGGAGGGAATTTCTATCACAGGTACAGATGGTGACTCATATTCAGATGGTTACTCATATTCAAATGATGATTATGCTCAAACAGTGACTATCGGTTCTATTGGATATGCTCTGGAACTCTGTCAATGATTAGGGGGTTCTCAGATTTATTTTCTGAGTCCCGAGTCTGTTCATAAGATTGTATGGTTTATGTTCCGGACCTATGATCCTGGTACTTACAAGCTACGCAGAGACAATACAGCAAATATTGGTATCATGGAAGTAGTAAAACCATGATCATTTTGCATTTACATCTAACATGTTTATTTCTCAAAAAAAAAATGTCAGAAAGATAAAATTATCAACCTTGCATATGCATGTCCACTTTGGATACCTCTCTGGCATAATTTTCTCCAATAACATTTGGCAACGGTGATGTTCTCAAGAAAACCAAAGGAGACAATCATACTTATTTGTACTATTCAAAGTTTTCCGCTCAAATTCTTGGCCTTCTTTGAAGAATCTAGAGGACCATTTTCGTCATTTCGACCCTATTTCAGTCTTACAGCTACAAGTTACACATTCCAGGACTACCAAATTGTTCCAATTCCGGAAGGACGATCCTCTTTGCTGAACACCTACCTGTCGCCAAGTCCGGATAGGCATAATTTTGAAATTATCGCTAAGGCACTTTATTTGAGCCTAAGCAATATGGAAAAATAACCTACCCCTGAACTAATCATTATTGTTACCAATTGCTCACACTCCCATAACCTTCTTATATTCAGTTCTGTGGGAATTTCTCTTATTTTTGGATGTCTTCTTCATGTGGTCGTTCTTGTCATCATGTTGCTCGATTACTATTGACGGTAATTGAACCATGGAAAACCGGAGTGGACAATCATTTCATACATCATACATATCATGCATTTCATGAATTGCAGGTTTGCTGGCAGGAGTTCTTATCTGATGATTTTGCCTTTTATTATAGAATCTACAAGACGACTTCCATACATCCTTATCACACTCGAGCCAACAAGTTGAGGATCATGGAACAAATTGAGCAGAACCAGGCCTCTCTCCGCAAAGACATGGACACCATGGGTGACCGGATGAACCAACTCATGGAAACTCTTCATGCCGTCATCCAAGGGCAGGAAGAGCTCAGAATAAGCATCACAAAACTGGTAGACGTTGCCTCCACATCCGAGAACGGCGGACCCAAGAATGATCATGGGGGGATTCCTAAGGAGAACCCACAAATGATTATAGATGACCACCATGATTTCATTGATCTCGATGACCCTCCAAAGGATTCTACGACTGATCTGTCTGAAACTGCTAAGATGTACAAGGCTCTGGAAGAACGCTTAAAGGCTATGGAGACTTCTAAGAAACCAGGATTCAGTGTCGCTGCTATGTGTTTAGTTCCAAGGGTTGTGATTCCGCCGAAGTTTAAGGTACCTGATTTCGACAAGTATAAGGGGGTTACATGCCCAGAGACTCATCTCCGATCTTACTGCAGAAAGATGGCTGCTTATGCTAGCAATGAGCCATTGCTTATGCATTTCTTTCAGGACAGTCTTGCTGAAGCTCTATTAGAGTGGTACATGCAGTTGGAACAAACTCATGTTAGTAATTGGAGTGAGCTTATTGATGCTTTCTTAAAACATTATCACTACAATACCACCATGGCACCTAGCCGTGCGCAGCTGCAGAGTATGTCTCAAAAGACTGGCGAGTCTTTCAAAGAGTACGCCCAGAGATGGCGCAGTTTGGCCGCAAGAGTTCAACCTCCTCTCCTAGATCGGGAACTAGTGGATTTGTTCATGAGTACCCTTCGAGGCCCGTATTTGCAACATATGCTCAGTAGTACTTTTGACTCGTTTTCAGACATGGTCATCATCGGAGAGCGGGTTGAAATGTGTATTAAAGTGGGGACTATTTCAGGTGCATCTGGCACGAATAATAACAACAACTCAGGTGGTGGGAAGAAACCATACTCTAGCGGTTTCGTCAAGAAAAAGGAAGGAGAAGTGAGCAATGCCTCTGATGATAAGGGGAAGGCTACTATACAAGTTCCATATTACCAGACCCCCGCGGCTGCTCCGCAACAACAATACGCACCGCCACGAAACTATCAACAGAACCAAAGGCCTCAGGGACAAAGGGGTCAACAAAGGCAGCAAAGGTATCCTGAGAGGAAGTTGGATCCAATCCCGATGTCGTATGCTCAATTACTCCCGCAGTTGCTAACTAGTCAGTTGGTACAACTTCGAGAGTTACCTCCCCCGTCGGCAGAGCTTCCAAGGGGTTATGATGTTAATGCACATTGTGAATTTCATTCAGGTGCTCCCGGTCACTCAATTGAAAACTGCAGAGCTTTGAAATACAAAGTACAATCTCTATTAGATTCTAAAGAGCTAAGCTTCGCACCTATAGGCCCTAATGTTCAGAATAATCCTATGCCTCCCCACCATGGGGCTGCTGCCAACGCTATTGGGTTTGACAATGACCATGACTTAGTGACTCAAGTTGAAGAGGTTCAGATGTCAATGGCAGTCCTAAGAG